AGACCCCACTGTGGGTCCTAAAACGTCAAACTTTGGGTCGTTAAAGTGACTGCTAAGAATATTTTTTTATATATATATTTGACAAAAAAGCAGTTGGATAAAAACAATTAGTCTATTATCAATATTTGAATACTTCAACCAAAAATACTTTAATTCATGAGTTTTGTCATTTGTGTTGTTTTATGAAATTTGTCTTAAATTTAATTTCAGTTGACATTAAAAAGTCTTAAATTTAACTTGCTTTAAACTGTAGAAACCCTGTTTTGGCTTCAGTAGAAGCAGTTAGCTGCAGGTATATATGTTGAACAACAGGTGTGCTGAAGTGAGGGGATTTAAGGTGACCAAGGCCAAAAGGCTCCATGTGAAGAATTAGATTAGTGCCCTCGTTACATGAGACCAGAGAGGAGTAAAAGTTGGTCCAGTCCCAACATCTTTTTTTTATTCTTTTGTCAGCTTTGTTTCTAATTTTTATGCAAATTCTCTGTTTGTGTTTCAGGATGAGAGATGACAGAAAACACACAAAGAACCACACCCCACAATGGAGCTCTTTGACCCCTGAGTCGATTGTTTCCAGCAGCAGTTTCTCACAATACTCGGGCAGATTTTCAGGAAACCCTGGGGTGGTTTGAGCTGTACGCCACTGCGACAGGGATGATTACTTCCCATATGAACGGTTACGTGCAGGAGGCCTCCGGTCAGGCCGTGAGCTACAGAGAGAGGGCCGTGGACTGTCCGGGCCAGGAGAGCAGCCTCGTCAAATCTCCTCAGAGCAGCGCCCACATGGAGAGGATCCAGCTTTACCAAGAAGAGATGAGGAAGAGGAGAGAGGAGGACAACAAGGGCAAGCACGACATCGATCCCAACGCTTCGCTGAGGCTCAAGAAGTTGTCGCAGAACCCAAAGGTCGGCATCGACAATCCCACCTTCGACGGGAAGGAGAAGGTTGCTAAAGACCCGACCTGCCCGGACCCTGTGGTCGGTGAGTTGAAGGGAGGAAGGAAGGGTTGAAAGAGGAGGAGCAACGCAAACCTCAGGGAAGAATAGAGAGTTGTGAGGTTTTACAGAAATAAATGAGAACAAAAGAAGTGAAAACAATGAAGGTGCAGAGCAGTGTGGGGGGAGGATGGTGGGTTTTACAGGCTCTCTGGTGGGATTCACACTGATGCTTTCAGTTCAACACAAAATCTAAAAGCTGTCCAATTAAAAAAACATAGAAGCAAATAAACGACGAGTCAAATTGTTGGAATATTTTCAGGTTCTTAACAAGCAGCATGAATTACTATTTTACCTTTTTACAGAAAAACTGTATAAAATAACTTTTTTAAACATTTTTATTGAAGATAATAGAAACAGATTGAAGAACAGCTTTTTCCTGAAAGCCATCACCACTGAACTGTCACATGCACTGCCTCTTGATTTACAATCAGCTAGAAACCCACACACTGTGACAGACCGTGGGACACGTCACTTTGTTAATGATCACCTGCAGTACCAGTATAATCCATATACCTCAACATGCATAATGTGCAATAATGTTTTACTTTCTTCTACTTTAGTGTTACATTTACTACTGACTCTCATTGTGCTTTTTTATTGTTGTATATGTAAAAAACGATTATTTTCTAATCGATTAAACTAACGATTATTTTTTCGATTAATCTATTATTCTAACAACAAATCTAAAAGTTATTCTGATGTGAGTGCACTGGAAATTTAAAATGTTTTCATCAAATTAACAAGAACAGTTCTTTAAGGGACCTTTCTGGGTAGAGTTTGCATGTTCTCTCCGTGCATGCGTGGGTTCTCTCCGGGTACTCC